GTGATTTCAATGTTGACTCATTGGCTATTTGGGAGTGTGTGGTATAATTTCTATGTATTTATTCATCCTCAAATTATATTAATAACTTCTAATATAATTACATACTTTTAGATTAGTCAAGGTTTGTTTAATGGCCTAGCTTGTGTTGTGTCCTGGAAAAGATTCCATGTGTTTTTGGGAAGAATGCATGCTGATGTTGGGTAGAATACTTTACAGCTGTCTGCTAGGTCTAGTTATTTTATAAAGTTAGTCCCATCTGTTACATCCCTGCTATTCTTTTCTTTGTTGTTCTACTCATTATTGAATGTTTTGCATTAAATTTGTTCCTAAAATTTGTAACTATGCCATGCTAATCGTCCTCATTTCTTCATTTTAATTCATTGCCATTTTGAACTCTTTAAAAATTAAAGCACATCAGGGACTTGGTGTTGAATTAATAAATTCAGAGAATTACACTTATTCCAGTGAGAAACACCACTGAGTGAAACTGTTAAATGTTTTACAGTTTGAAACCTTCCTGAATAGTCCTTCTGAATGAGAGTTTGGAAAGATGGCAAATTGGAAACATAAATTAGGGATTTTCATTTCTTTGGATCTTTAACTCATGAGGGCAAGGTGATTTGATTGGTAAGTTAATTCTGGACTTCAACTTGCAGGACTATTTTATCTCTGGTTTTAATTATTCCCTGGGTCATATATATGGGATCAGATTTTTATTTAAATTTAGGGCATCTTTCTATTGGCATTTGTTGTTGGATTTTCTTAATGGCTTTATTTTATTTTGCTGCAGTAAGTCTGAAAATGCAGTTAGAAATCATTTGTATAAAAATAGTGAATTTTGGCTTTCGGCACAGAGAGATTTGTAATTTCATTTTTACCTATTTCAGGACATTCTGGGGGTTGGGAGTGGTAAAATACTTATTTCCAAGTAATTCACTCAGTAAAAGAAAACAACCAACGATGAAATGATTGCTATCACAGACCCAATCTCATGCAGGTGAGAGAATGATTCACCTCAGATATCATCAAACCCTAGAAAGAAATGCTAAACAGTTGAGGGACCTTATGTCAATGATTGGTCCAATTAGTTAAAAGCACAAAAGACTGACAACATTAACAAGAAAAGTTCTTTCGTAGTCTGTTAGATACCCAATCATTTATTCTCTGTCATCTTTATAGATGTCCCTTTATCTGGCCATCGGCCCTTCTTTCTTAATTGGTAAGAGCTAACTTGGTTTAAGGAGTCCCGGTGGAGCGATGGTTATGTACTGAGCTACAACCTGCAAGGTCAGCAGTTCAAACCACCAGTCCCTCCAATGGAGAAAAGCGGGGCTTTTGATGTCCATAAACAGTGACAGTCTCAGAAACTGAAAGAAGCAGTTCTACCCTGTCTTACAGTCTCCTTATGAATCGGCATAGATTTGATGGCAGTAAAAAAAATGGGTTTGGGATTTTAAAATTCCAGAGTTCTATCTTGCAGTGTGGGCCCCGATGAGTCAGTAGTTTGTTTTGGTTTCGGGCTCATAACTTAGCCAGAGAAGAGAATGGTTTTTGTTGTTGGGTGTTGTCAAGTGGATTGTGACTCATAGTGATCCCATGACATAGTAACACTGTCCCAGAGGGTTTTCTTGGCTATCATCTTTACGGAAAGAAGCAAGCCGCTGTGTGGGTTCACACCACTAATCTCTTCTTTAGCAGTCAGCTGCTTAACTTCTTCCGCATGAGGGATCCTTTGGGTTCCTTAACATCTCAAACCAAACCAAACTCACTGTCATCAAGTCAATGGCCGACTCATAGCGACCCTATAGGATAGGGTGGAATTGCCCCGATGGGTTTCTGAGACTGTGAACTCTTTACAGGAGTAGGAAACCAAGTCTTTTGCTTATGGAGTGGCCAGTGGATTCAAACCACCAGCCTTGTGGTTATCAGCCCAATGCATAACCACTGTGCCACCAGGCTTAACATATCAGAATTCAATTATTTCCTTATCTTAAGACACTCTCATCTGAATGGTGAAAAATAATATAATAACCACCTGGTCTGCTTCTAAATGTTTTGCCAACTCATGTGACTGCACTACTCGAAGCCTTCTAAAGACACCCCATCACTTTTGGAGGAAAAGTCGAATTCCTTAAAAAGGCTTTAAGACATGAACTGTCCTATGGAACCTCATCTTTTACTAGTCCCTGTCTTGCTCATTGTTTTTCTCTTCCACAAATATCCACATAACCTTGCACTCCATTCTTCCCTAAACTTTGAGGACTTCTCTAAACACAGTACATAAAAGATCAATTCTTTTCACAGCCAGTACTTTATCTTACCCTATTTAGTTTTTAAATAACACTTACTGCTTAGCTTATTAGTTACTTAGCTTACTAGCATTTTTTGAGTTTAAAAAGAGCATTTTATTGTAAATTATGAGAACATTTACAGAGCAGACTATCAGTTTTACATTCAACAATTCATATTCATTTTGCTTCACTTCATCCACTGCAACATCTCCAGTGTACCCTAACTGACCCTACTTTCTCCCTGTGCTTCCTATTTCCATTACTCCTTTCACAATTCTTTGAACTTTATGCTGGGAAAAATGTTGCCCTTTTGATCTTAAGTGGTTGATTATTCTAACAAGAGAATAAATTCAATTCCAGGCTGAAAGGGCCATATTCTCTGGGGTCCCACTGGTCTCCATCAGATCAGTAAGCCTGATCTCTTTTATGTTTTTGAGTTCTGTTACAGATTTCATGCCTAGTCTACTCAGGAATCCCTTTCTCAGCAGTTGATAATGATAAAGGGGAACCATCTAATTCATTTGGGTTTAGGGTTGTGGAGACTGATATTAGCGTGGTCCATTAATCCATTGGATTGTTTTTTTTTTCCACATGCCTTTCAATGTTCTTCACTCATCTTTCCTCCAGGCAGGGAGAGATCAAGAGCTGCACCTTAAAAATTCATGAGCTTTTAAGACCCCAGTTGCTACTCATCTAAGTAGCATGTAGAAAATTGATCTTTGTGAGTTGTGGTATTCCAATTGACCTTGGTGTCCCCTGAGACTATGGTCTTGATGACCCTGGGCCCAGCAGTTCATTCCTCCAAGTTATTTGGAAATGGCTACAAGGTTTGCATGACTTTGCCTCCTGTATGCTCCACCACATTTGTAGATATATTTTCAAAAAGGTAAATACACATATACAAATATTCTCGGTTTTATGTATACACACACACACACACTCCCAGTCTCCTTCCTACAGCTGACCAGCTTGTGTGTCTACCTAAGCATCTACTAGATCACCACGATGGAAGTAGTTGCCTCTGCTGCCTTTACCTCCTGCAAACTTCCCAATGTCTTTCTGTGCACCCATCGTTTTTCCCTATCCACCCTCTTGATGTATATTGGCTTCCCTTTCATCTAAGTTAACACTTGTGAACTCTTTAGTCCATTTTCTTCCCACCTTCCCCTCCTGCCTGGGACGACCACCCAATAATGTTTCTTTCAGCGTTAAAACCTTTTATAAAAAAACGTTTTGTAATAGTGGTATCATACCATTTTTGTCCCTTTAGGTTTGATTAATTTTAACTCACAGAATGTCCTCCAGATTGATCTATGTTATGAGGTGTTTCACAGATATGACTATTCTTTAATATTGTGTGTATGCTTAGATCATCATTCATTTCTTTCCATTTTATTTAGGGTTTCCTCTTTAATGTGACTGTAGTTTTTATCTCTTTCTTGTTTTGTATGCCACTGTTTCCTGAGTGACTAGACCATGGCTTGAGATTCTGTCACTGTCCAATAAATAGCTGGGCAATGATGGATTTTTGTTGACAGAAAATGTGCTGAGAAAGAAAATTAATTAGTCAAGAGATGAACAAAATTAACCAGAAGAATATAGAGCATTTTTCATAGTATTCCCCTTATAGTAGTAGCAGATGTTAGCTCCATTTTCACTAGGCCACTTGGTTAAAATTTTATATTCCATCTCATGTTTAAAATTTCCTTGAACTACAGAGTTTGTGTCTTCACTGGCACAGGTGGAAGAAATGTATTTTTAATAAATAATAGAATGTATAAATATTTACTCAACAGTAATCGGCTGAATATGCAAATAACAGTGGCTTAAATACTAAAGAGATCTATGTTTTTTTAACAAAAATTTTTTGAAGTCTTTGACTAGTTCAAGGCTCAAAATTATCATGGTTCTGAGTCAGTGTCTTTGCAATTTTGGAAGCATAATGGAAGCAAGATGAATGCATTTTCACGCTGCAATGTCTCAAATTGGAAGGATACATGCTATTGATGGGCATTCACTCATGTGTGCTCTCTATTTTGATGAAAGAGATTCAGTCTTACAAGTCCCTTTATATGAGAGCGTACCCCCTCCCCACGGAAAAATACAACAGAATTGTGCTGGGCTGAGAGGAGCTTTCATAGTACACATTTTCCCTGCTAGGTGAGCATTGAGCAACTCTCTCTGAGTGAGTGCACCCAGTGACGTCGCCCAGAAAGGTTCTCTCTGGTCACAATGAATTTTTTCATAAAAGCAGTTTTACTCAAACCTTGTTTTTTGTGATGGCCAATTTAATAGAACAGTGTGTGGCTGTGAAATTTTGTTTCCTGCTTGGGAAAAATGCCACAGAAACTGTTGTGATGTTGACTACAGCTTACAAGGACAGCACTAAACTCAAGTGTACCAGTGGTTTTCTCTGTTTTAAAAAGGTGAAATGTTGATTGATGACAAATCTTGGATGTCGACTTGTGATGCATTTGGAGTTTGTTCCACCAGGTCGGAATGTTAATTAAGGTTTCTTTTTAGAAGTTCTGAAAAGATTTCATAACAGTGTACAACAAAGAAAGGCCTGATATGTGGAAAATGGGGACTGGTTTTGCCACCAAGACAATGCACCTGCTCACACAACCACTCAGTGCACCAGTGTTTGGCAAAAAACAAAACAAACCAAAAACAGCAACGTGCCTCTCTTGCCCCATGCACCTTACTCACCTGATGTCGCTTCGTGCAACTTCTTTTTGTTTCTGTTAATGAAGACGGGCAGGAAAGGACAGCGGTTGGATGACCTAGAAGAGGTGAAGGGAAAAAAAATGAGGGAGGTGCTGTCAGCCATCCAAACAGATGAGTTTGAAAAATGTTTCCAAGAATGGAATCACAGATTTCATAAATGTATTAAGTGTAATGAATAGAGAATACTTTGAAGGTGATAAGGTTGTTTTGTACAAAAATTTAAATACATTGCTTTGGGAAAAAATCTGCTTTTTTAGGGGTATCCCCTCGTATGCCAAAAGCCTGAATTTGGCACTATACCCTAGAAGGGTCTGGAAATGATCCTCTGCACATTTTAGCCTCCAAACTGGGACGCAAAGCAAGAAAGAATTCCCACCAAACAAAACAAAAACCAGTGCCATGAGTCTGTTCTGACTCATTGTGATCTTATATAGGGTTCTGAGACTGTGAGTTGTTACTGAGTCAGAAGCATCATCTTTCTCGTGGGGAAAGGCTGATGGGTTTGAACTGCCAACGCCTTTCACATAGTGCCGTCAGAGGAATGCAGTAGCTGCTGATGGAAGAACTGCACTGCCTGTCAGAGTAATAATTTACAATAATACATTAAAAGCCTTCTTTGAATTCCATAGCGCAATATTAAGGAAAAAAACAAATCAAATCATATAAACATTTTCTTGAATTTAAAAGTATGCCGACACAAGGATTCCTTTTTCCTCCACCATTCATTCATATTAAGGAAAAGTTCATTCTAAATAAATAATAAGAATAAGGTAATTAATAGGGGAAAAATTGATGAATCAATATTTAAATATAAGGTTTTAAAAAATCTTATAGTACATATATTTATAATAAGTGTGTAAGTCTTATGTATTTTATACTGATAGCACTATGCTTTTCTTTCATTATTTCTACCTTCTTTCCTTTTCCTCCTATAGTGCATCTACTTTTTTTTCTTATTTACATTAAAAGAACTTTAAAGCAACATATTAATTTAAATAAACATATGCATAATCCGTATGGATACATTTAAGGGTGTAAGTCAAAATATACTGCAATTAGTTTTCCAGCTCATACATATGTGGATTTATTCCAAGGAAGGCGTGTTTACACATGTCTTTTTGATCAGTGGATGGCTAAAGACAAATTCCCTTAGTAGTACACGTATCTCCTTTTGGTGCCTTCCCAAAAAAGAGACGTTTTTGTGCCATAGAAAAAACAGGATTTTATGGTCAAGGTTAACTTCAAATTTTTAACCAAACTCCGGTTGACATCTTCCCAAACAGTTGGGGCTTTGCAACAAGTCTACAGGAATGTTGTCCCACATAAACTAACACTTTATAATGGAGATAAAGATGAATTCAAGGCAGAGAGATCAGTTTGGAAAATTATGGCAACTGTTGATATGGGAGTCCAAAGGGGTGATCTTGATAGATTTTCCTTAAAGAACAATCACTAGAGCTTATTATGAAGAAATTTCAAGAAAGGTGAAAAACTGCATTGGTGAGCAAAGGCCAGGGAAGTTGTGCAGAGGGATTTTTTTCCCGATCACAACAATGCACATTAGTACAACAATGAGGGTGGCGAGGACTGTGCCACAAACATTTCACTGGGAAGCTATACCCTATTCACACCATAGTCTTGAGCTTGCACCCATCAGATTTTTTGTTGTTCCCCAAACTCAGAACACATTTAAAAGAAGCAAAATTTGAATCATTTGGTGAAGCTGAAATTACTGTTGCCCGTGGTACAGATCAGAACTCATGAATTCATCAGGAAAAGGATTAGAGAAGGAGACCCTGCTTTCAGAAGTGTATAGACCTAGATGGAGGCTATGTTGAGTAATAACAGCTTTACATTTTGAGATTTTTAGTTAATGAAAGTTTCTATTATTTTGTCTGGAATACTTTTTAACTCACCCTTGAGTCTGTTTGTTTGTCTTTTTTTCAGTGAATAGCTGACTGGTTCTTCATTTTAATCTATGAGATGGCAAGCTTGCCTACAGAAATAAAACACCAACAAACTACACCTGTGGCCATTGAGTCAATTCCTCCGCATGACAAACCCTTGGATAACAGAATCCAACTGCTCAATTAGGGTTCTTGGCTGTAATCTTTATGGAAGTCGGTGCCAAGTCTTTCTTCTGCAGTACAGTTGGGTAGGTTAGAAAAGTCACTATTAGGTAAGCAGCTGACTGTAAACTGCTATTTATATTCAAAACGGAAGATTTTCTTCTCTTTACGTGAAATATTAATGTCACTGATGAATATCCAATAGTTCATGGTAAAGAATACATTAAAAGGGGGCAGAATAATTGGTAAACAGTTGGAAAATTGATGATTGAGTCATGTTTGCACTTAATTATTTGTAGAGCACCTGAAAAGCATTACAATCACCTAACTCTACATGTTAGCACATAGATTTAGATGAACGTTAAGAATACTTCCTGGAGAAGCACACCAGCCTACCCTGACACAAATGCTGAAGACAAAACGGGTACATAAGTAAATGCGGTGAAAAAAGCTGATGGTGCCAAGCTGTCAAATTACACAGAATCTGGGGTCCCACATGCTGGAAGATAAACAAGGGGCCATCTAACTGAGAAACAACAAAGCCCACATGGAAGAAGCACACCAGCCTGTAAGATGACAAGGCGGTGAAAGGGTCAGGTATCAGGAATCAAAGATCAAAAAAAAAAATCATAATATTGTGAATGAGGGGGAGTGCAGAGTGGGGACCCAGGGCCCATCCGGGAGAAATTGGACATCCTGCAGGGAGGAGAGGAGCAAATCAGAGTGCAGTGTAGTAACGATGAAATATGCAATTTTCCTCTAGTTCTTAAATGCTTCCTCCTCCCCACTACCATGATCCCAATTCTACCTTACATATCTGGCTGGACCGGAGGATGTGCACTGGCACAGATAGGAACTGGAAAAACAGTGAACCCAGGACAGATGAACCCCCCAGGACCAGTGGAGAGAGTGGCGATGGCGGTAGGGTGGAGGGAAGGAGAGGGAGAAAGGGGGAACAGAGGACAAGGTCTACATGTGACCTCCTCTCTGGGGGATGGACAGCAGAGAAGTGGGTGAGGGAGACGTGGGATGGGGTAAGATATGATAAAATAATAATAAATTACAAATTATCAGGGGAAAGGGGGAGTGGGGAGGGAGGGGGAAAATGAGCTGAAACCAGGGGCTCAAGTGGAAAGCGGGTGTAAGAATGATGAAGTCAACATATGCACTAAAGTGCTGGATGCAGATGACGTATGTACAGATTGTGATGAGTTGTATGAGCCCCTAATAAAATGATTATTTAAAAGAAAAGAGACAGAGGGCAGAGAAAAGTAATTGGGAGCATAGTTCAATTCATAAGTTCAAATTTTATAAATATTCCATTGCTATTGTTTCTGTTGTTATTAGGTGCCTTCAAACCAGTTTTAACCGATAGCAACCTTATATACAGTACAGTGAAATGTACCCCAGCCCTACACCATCCTCATAATTGTTGTCATGTTTAGGGGTCTACATCAATAAATCTCCTTGAGGGAAAAAAAAAAAGAATACTTCCTGGGAAGTACACAGACTATGTGTGTATATTGCACTTTATCACGCACTAGTAGACATTAGTGTAATTTGAATATTCTAAAACTACATTAGAAACATAAACATTTTATATAATGACTACACATATCCATCAAAAGTGTCTGATTTTAAGGGAGCAAATCACACTGGTGATGGATAATACTATAAAATATAAACATTAAAAAGTGACATATGTAGATTTGCTTTTGCATTCATTTAATTACTTAACTACTGTATCTCTTTATGACCTCTATAAAGTTCTTTCTGAGCTCCTTCCCTGTCAATCAGACTGGTGCAAAACTGTGACCTCAGGTTACCTTGCTGGGAATTTTTACCTGAAAAGCCTGGTCATTCTCTTTCTATAGGACTATCAGGGGTTAGGTCAGGTTAAGAGACTATTATAAACTTTTGTTTTCTTTTTAAGAAGGAAATAATTTTCAAATTCTTCATAACACATAGCACAGGTGCCCTCCTCAACTTTTTGATCTGATAAACTGATAATGCCAGATCAAATTTCCCAGTTTAGTTGTGGAAATCTCCTTCTTGAGTATATTATTAATTTTGCAGTAAAAACAAACAGCAACACCAAAACAGTTTCTCCTAAAGGACGTAAGACTTTCTAACCTCACTCTAAATGTCTTCTCTGCCATTGTGTTCCTTGTCTAGATTGATCTATGGAGTGTATTTAAAGAAAAATTCACAATTAAACCCACTGACAGTCCTTCAGAAAGATTTGCTACTGCTTTTAACAGGAAGTGGCTAATCAATCACCCGGAAGCCTTTTGTTTGGGGGGAAGCTAAGCAAATCGTAAGGGTTATTTACTCATAACCCATCTACGGCTACTCACCTTAAATGATTTCTTCTTGTTAAAGAAACATTTACATATCACAATTTGGCTAAACTTACATTGTTTCTTAAATGGTCAGTGGGAGGACTAGATGTCATAGAATTATAGAATTAAAGCCAAGCAGCTTTTGTAGTCACCCAGTCTAAAACCCCATTCTAATTTTTTTTTTAAAGTATACAGCTGAACAAGAGGAAGAATCTTGCTCAAGAGCACACAGATAAATCAATTTGGGCTGTGTTCTTTCTTAACTGCCACCTGATGCCTAACTTTTAAAATGAAAGCCACCATAGCTTTATTCAATAATAACGTTCAACTTGCATGCTGAGCAACTAATACTGAGCAATGAGGTTGAATTATATGGAGAAGGATGTGGCATCAGGATTGCAAGAAGACTTATTAACAAACTCTGAGATGCACATGACACAGGGTTGCTTGCTGAGAGTGAGAAGGACTTGAAGCACTTGGCTGATGAAGATCAAGGATTGCAGCCTTCAGTACGGACTACAACTTAATGTAAAGAAAACTCAAACCCTCACCACTAGATCATTAGGTAACATCGTGATAAACAGAGAAATGATGGAAATTTTCAAAAATTTCATCTTGCTTGTTTCCAAAAATCAGTGCTCATGG